CTTAAAATATGTACTGCAAGTGGATTAATTAATAAAGACAATATCGACAATAGATTTGTAGTTCGAGGAACCGTCTTGAGGAACCTCCAAGGATTTCCATCGTGGCAGAGAATTTTTTCGACACACATTCTTGTTTGTCTGAAATGTCACCTCAAGATGACGAGTTTTCCAATTACCAGATTAATCAGTCGCATATAGTGATACTTAACGAAGTAATTCAATTAATCGTCCATCGGTCGATCTAACAGTTAATCGCATGAAAAAAATGTGTTTCATTTTTCCCCCCTGAGCGAGGTAATTTTATCCGGTCGTCGGCCTCTCTCTCTTTCTCGACTTGGCACGATTACCATGGAAATTACTAGGCGGACATTTTTCACTCGTACACGTTGGCATATACGTACGTCCAACCCTTTATGATTGCGCGTACCATCTTTCCGGCGTTATTGTCTTGCGCGTATGCATAAGCAAGCGGCGTACGGGCGTGCGATAAAAATGCGAAACACTTCGATCGCGGTGACTTAATATTCCGTCGGTGTCGCATTATTAGCGGGTCGGAGGAGCGATCTAGCAGTCTCGTTAAACACGCACGGTTTATCCCCGCTAATTGTTTTTATCGCCTCGCGAAAACGCGCAATAGTTGGACAACCAGGGACACGCCCATCCGTTCGCGGATCAGTCTAGCAACTTTGTACAGCGTCACGCAAATCTACGTGTATGGTATCGATCCCTCGGTCGGCTGGACCTCGACCTTGGTCCTTGGAATCGCCTGGTGCATCGACCCCTCTCGTGAAACACTCTATATGTGCCACAGTTACCAAGTTCTCCGTTACGACTTCTATGCCAATTAACTTTCGACGGATCGCGCGCGCGTGCAGTGCATGGAGAGTCTATGGAGAGTCGCTTAAAAATTGGCATCTTATCGCGAGCGAAAAATCAAGCCCATGAGATTCTTCCATTATCCACTTGTTTTACTGCTCTATTTTCTTACCATGCTACAGATTTAACTTTATTGTTCCACAAACACTTGTGTCAATTTGTATGGAATATTATTTTTCTGAAAAGAACTTCTACTCTTGTATATATAAGAAATCTACATGGATTGGCGGAAGTAATATCACGGGGATGGATATATTTAAGGGATTAAATACTATTTATTTGCACACGACTTAAATGATTTAAATATTACATTAAATTACTTACTCACAATCAGTAGTACTGTACCATTTAAATTACTTTATCATTTAAGTCACACAGAATACAGTAATTTAATTTATATTAGAGATTAATAATAGGATTCGTAAATTAAGTAATATGAAATCTCAAGTTGTAAATAATTTTGTGAGGAGGATATTCCATACTTTCTATTCGACGGAGTGTCGTTTTAGAGGGAGACCGGTCTCCGTCCTCGTCAAAAATAAATAGAATAGACCGGACGACGGCTTCGGTAAAAATTGTTTAGTTTCATTGCGCGAGAGTCGCGGCGATGGTATAGAGACAGAACAGGGGTTGCTATTTTCGTCTTCATTGCACCAACACCAACGGGCCGACGCCCTTGCTCGACGATTATGCGATCGACCGTGTGTACCAATGGTTCCACGCTTTACTTTCCACCCCATGGTCTCGTTCCCCATTATAGTCGTGGGCGTGCACGCGAGGGAAACTCGTTCCTCGATACGTAACAAGACTTGCAGATCCAGTCAGATGGAAAGATAATGAATGGAGTGTTTGGAGAAAACTCTCGAGTATCCTGTTGACGATCGATGAGCAATTTCCTTGATCCTGGTCGCGTAAACCAGATAACCGAAATCGAATTTCCGAGAACGCGCGATGAGATTTCCCCGAATTAACGTTTCGGCTGTTTTCCACGCGGCCGAACCACTTTTCAGCAGTGACGTGATCGTGATTCGCGCGGGGGG